GAAAGCTGGGGTTGTAGGGACAGCAGTGGCTTTACTTGGGGTCATGGGGGCCTCCCAGAACAGCAGCAGCACACAGTGCCTGGCCAGCAGCCCTAACTTGGCTCTGGATGGCCAGGCTCTGTTTCTGGTGGTTCATGCTACTGCCGTGTGCACAGCACCACTTTTTTTGACAGCAGGATCTCCCAGTGGTGCTCCTACTAAAGGCTGCATTGCACTGCATGCAGTTTATGGCACCTCAAACAGCTTTGAAGTGCTGCAAACCGTACACACGTGCTCGTCTGGATGTGCCCAAAGAGTTCTCTGACAGTATAACTACATAACCCTGCTTACGATATTGGTTAAGTGCTTCTGTTGTCTCGGTTTCAAAAACCCAGAGTTTTACTGGCATAGCTCTGTCAGCAGGTATGATTTTTTTTGCACACTGGTGAACAATAAAACTTATGCCAGCAACATTTTGTGGTGTAGACCTCATCTAGGACTGTGAAGGTATTACCAAGTTTAAGTTAGTAGTGCCACTAACTTGGAAAATGGAAAATATTATTTAATATTTTTATGTTTGTACTGTATGAATTCAATACTGTATTGACTTCTTACATATCACGTCTGGACTCTGCCCTTATTCTCACTTATCACTGTTTAAATCACGAATCATTTCATTTTAAGTGATATCCAAATCAAGTCCACTGATTCTAGTGTCACTTATAATAATATATATTAGCAAGCTATTGTATATAAAATTAACATTGTCATCATGTTTATACTTTTTTCATACATCTGAATTTTCAGGAAAATTTGTGCTGAAATAGTGCATGTGTTATATCAACCAGATTATGGATAACATATTCAGCTATCAAAAGATCCAATAAAATAAGTTTGTCATATAATGCTTAGCTGAATGTGTAGAAGGAATCTGAATTGTAAAATTTCAATTTATGAACACTTGTGTATAACTTCTGAGCCTAACTCTAAGAGTATGTGTGCATGTACATATAACTGTAGATATGATTGCTGCTCTTGTAATATATGTGAAGAGTACAGTTTTGAATGTGAAGAAATGTGGTATGTAAATATGAAATTGCAGTTGGGTGCCAAATTTCTCGAAAAAGAAAGAAACAAAGCTCATACTAATCTGTTCTTTTTTCAGAAGCTGACGTCTTCAGAAGCAAATGGGTAGCCTACTAGAGCATGTTTGAATGTTACCTTGCATATATAAGAGAACAAGATCATTAAAGTAATATTGTTATTGAAAGTAGAGTGTCTTTACTTTGTTCCTTCTCTCTCCCAAGGCTGAGCTTTGACTCAGCTCTGCATAGTAATACTTAGTTTTGATACAGTGATTTCCACTCAGATCTCAAAATGCTGTTCAACTGCTGAATGTTGCATCCTCTCAAGACCTAGCAATGCGCCAGGTAGTGATCATCCTCAAATTGAGGGATTGCCAACAATGAGTACAGCAACACTGAAGGGGAGCACAGGGCTGTGTGGAAGGAAAAGAGCTATGGGGGTAAACATGTTGAGGAATGGGAGCTGTAAGAGCCATATGGTTGCTGAGCTGTGTGGTAACTTGTGGAAGGATGTAGGGTAGGCGTAGAGGGCAATCAGTCATGTTGGGGATCACAGGGGTAAATAGGGATGTGGTAAATTTTATGGGGAGAGCACAAGACAGATATGAGGCAGAGGTGGCAGACCAGGGAAAGGGAAGCAGTTTTGTCCTGATGAACCTCCAGTGCTCACGTACATCAGCTCCTTCCTCCCTTCTTCCAACCCCCCCCCACAACTCTGTTCCACCCAGGCATTCCCTCCGCATTAACCCTTTCTCCCCAGCCACATGTCTGCCCCCCTAGCTACGTTTACTGTGCAAAGAAGAGCTGGTAAGTTTGACAATGTAGCTGAGAGGAGCTGACAGTTCTGCCGGCTACTGTTGGCAGAACTATGGAGGTTATGCCAAATGATGTTACATGATGTATGATCATGTCTATAAGTGTTTATCACAAATCTGTAAGAATTTATCACACTGCATTTAGATGAGGCTTATCAAGTTTGTAGGTCTATGAGTCCTGAACTATAGGAAGGTGAAAAAAGCAATACCCTGAGGAATCTTGTGTGTTAGCAGAATGAAGTAATAGTTACCTAAATGCTCATAAATAAAATAATGCCCCCCATCCTAATATCCTGTAAACCACAAAATACTATCTCTAATTCAGAAGCATATTTAAAGACAAAGCACAAGCTCTCTAAAAGAAAGAGTAGGGACCCCTTAAACACATATATATGGCACAAGAGCACCAGTGTATGTTACCTGGCTAAGCTCTGATTTGGGAAGGAAAATTCACTCATATACTAAGACATGCAATGCCTTTAGATACCATGGTATCATAACTTAGTGTGAGTGACTGGGGCACCAGCCCTGGGCACCAACTTAGTAGGAGCACCAGAATGGCACCCTCAGCCCCATGGAGTCTACACCCTAGCAGCTAAGTGCATGGACATGGCATTGCTGCTGTAGGAGCAAAACTTGGGGTGTCCATTCCATGCTGCAGAAGCAGCAGCTTGGGACTGTTTTTGAGTTTCAGGAGTAGGTAGGGCTCCCCCACCACTCTTGACACCTCCCCTCTTTTACCCCCACCCCTATTCATTATGTCTTTGAGAT